CACATTTCAGCTCTTGTTGGACAAAATTGGACCCTACAATGAGAAGCGAACTACCAATTTCCGGAAACCCCTGTCAGCAAAAGAGAGTTTGAATCTGGAAAAAGACTGCTGGCTGACACGCTGGATTTACCACAGGATACAGACAGAGACACAACCCTCCCATTTGCATTCGTAGCAGATGATGCATTTCCATTGAGGGGAGATTTGATGAAGCCATTTCCAAACAGACAATTAACTCATGAGAAAGAGCTTTTCAATTATCGCCTATCACGTGCGAGGAATTCAGTTAAATGCTCTTTTGGTAGGATTCCCCAAATGTGGCGTATACTCCAGCGCCAAATGGATGAACAGCCAGAGCCGGCAACAGATGCAGTCAAGGCCATCACAGGGCTCCACAATGTCATGATCATGCAAGACCCTGGAAGATCGGTGTACGGCACATTGAGGATGACGTGGTTGAGCCACGAGCAGGCCTACCGACGCTCGACAGACCAGAAGTTATAAGGAGCAGAGCTACCAAAAGTGGAATGGAAGTGAGAAATGCTTTTATGGGATATTTCTCGTCACCGCACGGTGCATTGCCAAGGAAAAACAGCAAATGCTAGAACGTCTGATCAGTCCACACTCTCATTGAAAAAGGGTTAGCATTGCATCTATTTTAATAAGCTAAAGTAGGCCTCTAGTTTGAAACAAGTTGACATGTTGTACAGTGTACATACGTTCAGACAGACAGACAGACAGGCAGACAGACAGGCAGACAGACAGACAGACAGACAGACAGACAGACAGACAGACAGAAAGTTCCTTCCAGTGCATCCAACTTCGTTGGCTACCCTCTTCCATTCGGCCGATACCATGGCCCTGTTGCAGTAGTTTTGATCTGCTTTGTCATAAAGACATCTTCTTTTTTCACCTGCTTGTATTAATGCCTCCGACTCCATTGTAGTCAAAATGCAACATATCAGCCGCACAGCAGACGCTCGAAATTTTATTTCAGCAGCAAGTGCACACGCTGAACTTGTTCTGCTCCGTCCAGCGCTGCGTCTGCTCCACGCCCACTGTAGCGCCGTGCATTCAATCCTTTGTTCATAAAATTTGACGATGCAACTTTTTCGGAGAAAGACGTCGTAACCGAAAAAGAAGCTTCGGAGAAGCGTGTACTGTGTTTGAGGCCTTCCTGCAGTCTTTCTGCCACACCCCTGATCTTCTGGTTGGAAAGATCTACACCTAGCCTTCTCGGAAAAGGGCGAAAAATCTCGTACACCCGTGTGGAAGTTGCGCACGCTAAAGATCCTTTAATGGTCTAAAATCGACAAGAGTAGGTTTCGGCCGCCAGACGGGGAAAATTCGAAATTTCCTATCACTGAAAATGTTAGGTGTGTCCCGCGCGCTCATATGACCTTATGCAGTTGCAAGCGCCGTAAAACACTTTATATATTTTTAAAAAGTGCCCGCTACGATCATGAAGCACTTTGAAGATCTAGATCTACTTCTGGCAGCCAATAAAACATGTTTTTTTTTCGTCAGAGTTTTACGGCACTTGCAACACAACAAGATCCTAAAAGTGCCAAAGATGGGAGGTGTTGCACGAGAGTAACAAACACAAAAAAGGAGGAGACAAAAAGACGATAGATGTTCCATTGGAAAGAAGAACAAACCACACCAGAGCACCCGCCAAGCACCCAAAAACATTGTAACATACAATATAGAAAAAAGTAACAGACAATGAAACAATGTAACAATGAAACAATGTAACAAACAATGAAACAATGTAACAAACAATGAAACAATGAAACAATGTAAAAATGAAACAATATAACAATGAAACAATGTAACAATGAAACAATGTAACAATGAAACAATGTAACAAACAATGTAACAATGTAACAAGGTAACAATGAAACAATGTAACAATGAAACAATGTAACAATGAAACAATGTAACAAACAATGTAACAATGTAACAAGGTAACAATGAAACAATGTAACAATGAAACAATGTAACAATGAAACAAT